TTTCTCTGTCTCCTCTCTCTTTCTCTCTGTCTCTGTCTCCTCTCTATCTCTCTGTCTCTGTCTCTTTGTCTCCTCTCTATGTCTCTGTCTCTGTATGTCTGTCTGTCTCTCTTTTCTCCTCCTACCTCTCTGACTGTTCCTTCTCAATCTTTGCTGGATCTTCATCCATATCATTCCCAATAATGCTGGGTGTCTCACAGGCTCTGCTCCCTGTCTCCCATTTCACTGGATGATATCATCAGCTCCCATGGATTCCATTCTCATCTCTATGCTGATGATTCTAAGTCTACCTTGCCAGCCCTAGCCTCTCTGATGACCTCCAGTCTCTCGTCTCTAACTGGTTCTTGGACATTTCACAATGGATGCCCTCTGGCCCTTCCCCCAAACCTTCCCCTTTCCTAACAACCCTCCCATCCTCCCCATCCCCCAAGCTCATGAGGACCCAGGTGTCTTTCTTGTCTTCTCTCCACCCCACCCCGCCACACACATCCAATCAAGGCCATGGCCTGTCCGTTTTCCCTTCATAACGTGCCTCGCAGACACCGCCTTCCCTTCTCTGCCACAGCGCCCCGCCCCAGCACCTTGCTACACAACAGCGTGCTGGGGGCTCTGCCTGCCTCCAGCCCATCCTCCATTCACCTGTCACAGGGATCTCCTCAAGCTGGGTCCCGCCACATCACGCCCTCCCTAGCAGGGCCAGGATCAAACTGACACTCTAAACCCTTCACAGCTCTTTCTCCCCATCCCCCCTTTCCAGTCTCCTTCGGTCTCATTCTTCATCCACTCTGGGATGCAGTGACACAGGCTTCCTGCCTGTTCCATGAATAAGACCCTCAGCTCCCGATGCTAGGTCTTTTCACTGGCCGTGCCCCCTGCCTGGACCGCTCTCCTTCCTCGTCCCCACCTCCTGAAGAAACAGGAGCAGTCACTACAAGAACTGGCGGGGGACTGGGGTGAGGGAGAGGGGGCAGTCTGGGCCACAGCTGGACAGTCAGAGGATGAGTAGGCTCAGTTATAAAGATGCCAGCAGGGGATCTGTAAAGACCTATGTTCAAATCCTGCCCTCTACACTTACTAGCTGTGTCACCCTAGGTAAATCAAGTCTCTTCTCTCAGCCTCAGTTTCCTCATCTGCTAAATGACAATAACAACAGTCCCTGCTTCCCAGGGTTACTAGGAGGATCCCATGAGTGAATGGGTGCCAACACCCATGCTGGCTCTGACGGAGAAGCCCGGCAGCCCTCTGAGGGCTGAGGCAGCGGCTGGAGAACCACCGGTCCCGTTTTTAAGTGGCCTCCCACCTTCCTGCTGTCTTCCTGAAGCAGCAGCTGGTCTGGATTCCGAGGCAGCATCTTAGCAGTGAGCAGGCAGCATGTGGTGAGATGGGGCCAATTCTGACTCTGCTATGGGCTCCCGGGGTGAACTGGGGCATGGTGCACCCCCCCTCTGGGGAGCACCCCTCTTGGGGCACACCCCCTCTTGGGGCACACACCCCTCTTGGGGCACACCCCCTCTTGGGGCATGGTGCACCCCCCTCTGGGGAGCACCCCTTTTGGGGCACACCCCCTCTTGGGATGTACACCCCCTCTGGGGCATGGTGCACCCCCCCGGGGAGCACCCCCCTCTTGGGGCATGGTGTATTCCCCCTCTTGGGGCACACCCCCCCCGGGGAGCAACCCCTGTGGGGCAACCCCCCCAGGGAGCACCCCTCTTGGGGCACACCCTCTCTGGGGCACACCCCCTCTGGGGTATGGTGCACCCCCCCC